CAGTTATTCGTTAGAAAGCTCGAACCTTCTAGTTTATCTCCAGGGGGACAAGAATTGCAAAAGGTTTGTTCTGAAGAAAGTGAAAAATTGTTCAACGGGCGATTTTTGAAGAAAAGAGACGTTGCAAAAGTATGAGTACATACTTTTCTTAAAGGAAACAAACTGGTAATCAAAAATTTTTCACCACTTCTCACATTTCCTTATTTGAAGAAAATCCCACCTTTCAAAGGAACAAGTGCGCATTTCTGTGAATTCCGGTTTCTCTACTCCATAACTAACACAGTTTTGAAGAAACTGCAAAAAAGTGGTTGTTTTCGGAAACTAGGGGTCTCGTGGAACTGGAGAGACGGACGGCTGGCGTTTCAAAAAGAGGACGCTGGATAGAATTAGTCTTTTGAAAATTAGTACTCCGCCTCGGTCAACCCGCACTGGGCCGATGGGAAGATGGTGCGCGGCAACGCGAACGCAACGCTCTAGTGCTCAATTTGGTTCCCGGCGGGAAAATTCTACTTATATTTCATATTCTGTTTGGGTGGAGATTTAGTATTTAATCCTCTATATTTGCTATTGTCGAGTAGGATACAGCGGTTAATATCCGTATCCACCATAGACAAACCAATTTGGTGTTGGCTGGGTTTCTGGGGGGGGTCGGCGGTGTAAAATTTTTGAAATGGGGTGTTCAATTTGACGATAGAACCTTTGTCGAGATCGGCCTCCGATTGCCTCCCTAGACCAGGTTTTTCTCTCATCCCGTATTCTCTCGGGCTAAGGGGGCCTAATTATTATGGTAGCGTTCGGTAGGCGACGGCAGCTGGATGTATCGCAAAGCAAATATTACTCCTAGCTTCAGCCGCTTAGTGGCTAAGTGGGAACGGTAATTAGATGCGAAATGTAAATGTAACAAAGTAAAATGAGCGCGATAAATTGGCTCTCTGCTTTCTCATTCGAGAAGCTTCTGTTTGATTGCGTTGGTTCAATGGGGCTTTTGCTGCCTGTTAGGGGAGCATAGTTAGATGTCACTAAACAATTTCCGGCTTGAGGTTCAAAAGTGGCACGATTCTGAATAAATCCATCAGTGACTTCCTCCTTCATTATTTCGAATCAGTTCCCAAAGTCAGTGAGTTGTTCACATTTGATCTTATCCTTAGTTCTAGAGGGGCCCAAAGGAGTGCTCTCTAGGATTGAAGCCCAAGATACCAAGTGGGTCCCCACCCCAACTGAATTTCACATGCTTATTGACTAACATCGTGAGTTCGAGCGGCAAGTCGACTGCTGTCCTCTTAATGACTCATAAATGTTCCGTTTCAGTATTACCGGACCCATGACTAGCCCATTGTGCACATGTATCAATTAACACACAAATAATGAAATCTTTTTGCAATGGCGGCAGCAGCTGGCTCCACAACCCACAGCCGAATTTCCCCGTACGCTCCCTCTCTGGTTTACGCTGAACCGCCATGCTAATAAAGGCGAATTGAATCCAGAAATGCTGCCCTTTATGTTATGGTTACAGAATAGGGCTGCCACTAACCCAATCGTAGGGCAATTTAATTGCCACTTTCAATCAGCTGCGGGTGTCAGACACGCAAATATTCCCAATGCGTGAAAAAAGCAGGACTACGTCCGATATGTCACTAATAAATAGAATAACTAAAATGTCACTTGGCAATAATTGATGAAGTTGCCTACGTCAATTTCCGGTCTCCGCACTTCTTAGCAAACCATTGCGTGATTGTCAATATTCACTGGGTGTAGACGCCATGATTTCGTCCCCCAGAATTATGTTTGTTGTAGGTTTGTTCCTCATTTTACCAGATTTTCAAGAGGTATTTCAGGTCCTGAACTGGGGAGGGCGCCTCCACTGAATCATCCTTCCAACAAATTGGTTTGGCAAATAATCTTCTTTACGCAATCCGCTTTGCTCCACTGTGCAATGGAACAGCTTTAGTAATATGGCCTCCAATCCGATTTTGACCGATTTCTGTTTTTTTTGCATGTTCCTCATGGCGTAAACAGGCATGATCCAACCAGCTGGGCCCCTTTGTGATGAATGGCATCACCATTTATAATACTCGGACAATCAGCTGTTCTGGTCTCGAATTGCTGAACCCATCTCCTGATTTATGAAAAATCAGTATTGGCACTTTATAGAGGTGATGTCGAATTCTGTAGTGTTGTTTCCGGCTAAATACTAACGTTTTCGACGCGGAAAATCATGAGAATGTACCCTTCCCTGCCATCATTAAGGTGGCTCAACCAATCCGTCCGCTAAAACAACCAGACTAGAGGCGATGAGCTTAACGAGATCGTTTTACAATCATGTTAGATTTCGTAGCATTTCTCCCTTAAGGTGCCATTGTGACGGAAAAAGTGGAATTGAATAGGTAAAAGATCTAGTGAGTGGTCGTTCTGTGAAATATTTCATTACTCCGATTGTTAATACTTTGCAGGGTTGGTTCTGCCGACGGCGCCTGAGGAGTATTGCGAAGAAGAGTTAGTCCATTCATGGCAGCCCTTGTTAGGAGCATGTGTCAGGGTCTTGGGATAGTTTGACACCTTGCAGAGAATGTTGGCTTCCTATGAGAGCTCAGCCTCTGCTTGGAGCTGCCCCTGCTCCAGTCGCGTAACCAAGCCAGGAGTACAAACTCTCCTGCGACCTGCAGACCCTGTCTGATCGAACTACTTCAGCCGGCTCCGCGAGATTTATTGTGAGCAACCCATTCTATCATATATTGTGCCTCCAAATCGTTTACAAACTAAAAACTGAACGAAAAATGGGCTGTTTTCATTGTACGAAAGAGAAAGAAGAAGGGAGGCGGCTCGACGGAGCTGCGATTTTTCGCTGCCATTGCTTGATGATTTTCCGGACTGTCCACCTTTTCCTATGCGCATGAAATCCTTAAGAGTACTGATTCAGTAGTGACGCCTTCTCAAACGAGTTCGGAGCCCACTTTGGTCATACTAGTATCAGCTTCTAGATTTTCTATTTTCTCTGTTCGATTAGCAAGACCCACCTTCGCCACCTTCGAGGCCTCTCGCCATTCCTCCAAAGCTTTTCCAATACATCGCTGCCACAGCTCAAATTTCGTTGCGGGTCCAGAAAGGTTTATATCATGAGCTGCTCCCGATTCTCCCTGCCTTTATTTGAGTTAGAAGAAGAAAAGTCCGAATACCCTTGTTGGGCATGTTGTACTCAAGGCTTGGAAAAATTGGAACAGACTACACTTGGGCAATGCTGACACTAGATTTGAATAGAGCAAAATGCGGCGTTCGCTTCGGGGGGGGGGGGGAGGGGGAGTGGTGGCGCTCATAATATCTAATCAAAGTGACAATATCCAGTCAAAGTGGAGCTGTGGAAGGGCCCTCATTTCTGAACATTCAGAAGAGGCTCCGACTGACCGATCAAATAAGGATACCAGCCCGGGATTACGATCAAAATCGGATTTTCGGAGGCTTTTTCTCCAACAGTTAGTATGACGATCGCGAGAGATTCAGTGAAAGTAAGGAGTCATCAAGGTAATAGCCATTTTCGCTCGACAAGGGTGACAGGTGGACGTAAAGGACGTAGGTTACAATCTCAGTGAGTGTGATAGTTATATTTGATAAGATATGAGTGCCTTACCCGCAGCTCTACTTCGATTAGATATGAGTAGCTTCCCAAACTACATTTTCACTCTCTTACCTCTAACATTTGGGGGTCTCGCATTCCAGTGGACCATGAAATGTGTAAAGTTATAATTCTGGAGGGAATAGGCGAGGTTGCTCGCTGCTTCATCAGAATCATTTGCGTTGCCTCAGTAAAACAAATTGTAGACTAGCCTGTACTCAGACAAGCAGGCTCTTCCAGACAGGGAGACCTGAAGGATAACATGTCGTGAAATTTGTTCTCAAGTCTTTAATGAGCTAAACCGACCATGGAGTGCTGCGATTGAAGACGGTAAAACGGTGGCTGGAGAGGGATTAACTTGCAATGGCGACAATATAAAGTATTTGTGGAATTGTAAGGTGAAACTTGCAGAAATTAATATTTTGGCAAGCTTTGATTAAGAATTTGATGAAAAATTGTTTCGCATAAGAATAGATATTTTTGATTGCGTTTCGTCCCCTGGAGAAGAGTATAGAGGGAAAACGAGAAGAGCATTTGGCTACATTCTGTTCGCCCGCGGCAGACGGCGCAGTCTTTAGCTCTGTTTGCTGTACTCAAAAACATATGCAGGCATAGAGTGCGGCCTTCGAAGACCCATCCATCAGATTCGAGAAAGCACGCGAAGACAACCGTAGGACGCATTAATACCCGACGGCGAAACGACTAGCCACGTAGACTTGACGTGCCCGAAGCCATCATATTTCTATAGGCCTAATGGGCTTCTGAGACAGAAAAATCGTTTTATGCTGCCGTGGTGATGCTTTCCGACTGAACTCCTGATTTCAGCCATTAATTGTAAATGGATTACGGTACCTGAATACCAAATAAAAAGTTGGCAGTAAGAATCAACTTGTTGATAATAGGAATAATTACACCAGAGCGGAAGTAGAATTTTCGCTTGTTTACGTGGAGGTCCCCCTCTTCAAGCACGCGAAATTTATGAACGATCACTTTGTTTGTTCAAGCGTGAAGTGCGATTTAGTACTTATACAACGCTTTTCCTTCGATTCAGGAAAGCAATGCTTTTTGCAGCGCCTAATTGTCCCTTACAAATGATTGCTGACTTTCACTCGTCGTGAATGCGAAAAATAAGTTGACGAAGGCAATTGGCTGAAGTGCCAGCTTTCCCTGAAGGCCTTGCACTTTACCAGTGCGGTGCGATTAGAAAAGCAATAATGTTGTTGACAGTCTCGACTGAGCGTTGCCTTTACTCATGAGAGGTTTGCGAGAATATGGACAAAGCGTTCCAAGTTTCACTTACACAGCTCCAAAGGACGCTCGAAAACCTAATCATTAAGCAGTTTTTTCTAAAGTTCACAGTAGCTTTGTAACGGTGTGGGCTCTGTCTTCTTCAATGTTACCATCATGGAAGAAGGCCGACGAGTTCTGGGTAAGGAGGCCAGGAGGCAACTAGCCGTGTAAACTTGGTGTACCACCGCCTTGCAATGCTTCAGAAGAATATATATTTTAGGCACTAATTAGATTCCTGCTTCAGAAGCAAGCTGAACAGACGTCGTACATTTTTGTCAACAACGATGAAATGATTGACTTTCCTCGGGTGATTACAAGTAAATGGCACTATATTGGTAAGTTGCCAGCTGAAAAGGAAAGCATTAACCCCTCAAATGAAAATCGGATTGAATAGCTGAATGTAATTTTAATATTAATGAACTCCTGTCTAATTTTAGTTTCCTTGAATTGACACTACGATTTTTGAATTGCCTGCTATTGCTAATTTGACTTTTAATTTTTTTTTCAACTCAGAGCTTTCTAGGAGGTCTGAGGCGACAAAAACCGATGCCGTTATCACCTGTAAGATAGGTTCATTATAGGAATACGAATTGATTCACCCAATATTTTGAATTGTTAAGCCCTGCTCAGGAATGGGAAAGGGTCTTCGCGACAGCCGAACGTGGAGTGGTTCTGATGTCGTTCGGAACTATGGCCAGAAGCACTGAAATGGGTGAAGCACGTCGGACAGCATTTGTGGAAGCCTTCCAGGTTTGCAGATTTAGAATGCTGCCAAATAATTCGCTCTGCCAACGAAATTTGGCTCCAGAGCCAGCTCTTGTCCTCCACGTCTCTTCTTCCACATATAGCGTATAAATTGAGTGACACCGATAATTACTTCCCTTCAAGGGATGTGAACTTTTGGAGAACAACAGCTATCAATCAGGGAAAAGAGTAAAACCCACTTTGGCTCACGTGGCTTCCCTGTTATAAAGCTGTAGGGTTTTGCTTAAAGCTTACTTGTGCGGTTATCTCTAACAAAGCGTAATGCGGCATGTTTGACAAAATCGAACTTGTACTCTTTTACAGACTTTTCCTGACATTACTTTCATTTGGCGGTACGAAAATCGTAGCGACCATTTCTGCAATGCTAGCAATGTGATTTTGCACGATTGGCTTCCACAGGTGGATATGTTGAGTAAGTGGTTTTAGCAAGCACGAATATCGATTTTTGCACTTCGCATTCGGTATGTTTTGCCTCATTAAGTTTATGACTGAGAGCTTTTTTTGCACGATTCTGGAACCGTTCCATATGTCTTTCAGATGATAAGCGGATGTTGGCATTTATTACACATGGTGGTATGGGTGGCGTCTTTGAAAGCGCGTATGCAGGTGTACCGGTAAGTGAGGATCGTATAAAAACTTTTAGACTTGGACAAATTACTGAGGAAGTGCTCAGTGGAACACCTGACAAAATTTGAAGCTTTTCAAGGCCGAATACAGCTGTTTTTATTTGCCCTGGGAGACTACTGCTTTCGGCTTCTAATTATGGCATCTCGCATTAGGCTTAAAGTCGGACTCTATGATGGAAAGGCAGCCCATCAGAAACCAAGATCAAGGTGGTCAGTGGTGCAGAGGATGAAGTGAAAACAATGAAAAAATGAACCCTCTCTTGGCTGTTGATTTCCGCACTGATGTGACTCCCAATAGTCTTGCCCGCGACGCTCACGCTCCTGCTAAATGACTACGACGCTAACGCTCCTGCTAAATGACTCAAGGCTCAGATGGCGAAAGGGTGGGCGTGCAGCGGCGCTAGCGGCGCAGGGACGGCCATGCTAGATAGCCGGTGGCATATCATTTGCCGCGAATTGTCCGCTCCGTTCTCTTTGGGGATCCACTCGTCTTTTCACTGGATATGTTTACCCTTCGATCGACCTCGAAGTCCATCCAGTTTAGTGCTTCTGTTTCGAGCTCCGAGATCTCGCGTATAAACTTCATTTGGAGGCTTGACTGTGCCAAGGCACTCGCTTTACTGCGGAGCTTGGACGAATGGTCTAGTTGTATATTTCAGACTGTATAATCATGCCGAGATCATGTCGTTCTTAGACTATTCTAACGTCATCGTTTCTCCTTCAATATTAGCTTGATGAGCTCAGAAGCTTTCATGTATCCATAGATTCAGTAGGTTTCTGAGAGCAAAAAGCTTCCTACGCTACCAGGTTTTTGACGCTTTTGTCATAGGTCTATGGCTTCAGCTACGAATATTGAATATGGGTTTCTGTAGCTGAATGTAGAGTTCAAGAGAATGTAGAGTGTTGGCTACGGCAACTCATTGAAACCGTTTAAAGCATAAAAACTGTCTAACAAGCAATTTGGAATTTTTCCCTAAGATCAGGGAGGTTCAGAGACTGATGACTTTCCAGTCGGCCACTCCTCTAGAGCGCACCAGGTGAGCGCGAGATTGCTCAAAACGAAAGGGTCGTATCTCTGATTGGCGAAAACT